AAGTAAAAAGTATTTTGGCGGAAATTTCTTGCACAATATAAGTCAAAGCCGTGTTTGTTGAAGATTAAGTTCACGATATTGCAGTTGTGAATTAAAAAAAAAAAAACAGTCTTTGAACAAAATGGTAGAAAAATCATGAAATTTCGGCTCTAATCATTTCGATGTTTCCTCGACCTCATTTGTAAAGAAATAAATATTGTACCAGCATGCTGGTAAGTTATATGTTTCGGGCCTGATGGTACAATCACTTGATGGAGCCAGCAACCTGGTGTCGTTTATTTCCCCTTTTATACAAAAAGGTTTTTGGTTGGATAAAATATTTGCTTTTTTCCAGAGATCATTGTTTTTCTATACCATTACTTATTGAAAATGTTTGTCTTTTTTAGCCCTTTAGCGCGGCAACACTGTTTCTAATGCTCAAAATTACTTCGTTATATCCATAGATCATTGTTGTGTAGAAAATTTTGCAGCAACGAGGTTTTTTCAGGGGACTCAGCAAAAACTTAGTTATATTGAGTTATTCGTTTTATCAAGGTTCTCTATATCGAGGTTTTACTGTTATAACATGCAAGTTTTACACAATTGAAGCATGATAGTATTCATTATTAGCCATATTCAAGATGTGGCAGTCCTTTAGTAAATAAGCCATACGTAACTAGTATGAATTTTATTTCATCTAGAAAGTTTGCTTTCAATGAAATAATTGCTGGAAAAGTGCAGTTGATTTTGGTGCATTTAGTTCTTCTCGGGGCGGAATATAAAATCCTTTTGCTAAATTTTTTTTTTTATATTCCAAAGTTCCATGAATGTATAATGTATATATATTTTTTGTTTTTTAGGTGATGAGGAGGAGCGTAGATCATTCCGAAAGAAAAATATACCGGTAATTTTCCAAGATGAGTTGGACGAGAAGCCTGAGATCGGCAACAAAAGCCCAATTATATTGAAGGACGAAAAGCCACCATTGCTGCCACCATCTTACAACACCTCCAATATGAATGGTATGTATCGGTTTGTTTGTACCCATATGTGTGTACATCATTATACATTGCGTGTATACAAATAATCAGGGCTATCACAGAATCCATCGTAGCTTCTAATCCGAATAGCTACGAACGTAAATTCGAAATTTGTAGAGAGCCTTCATTGAATCCGTTCGTAATGAATATTCGTACGGATACTCTACGACGAGTTTATGCTGTAGGAACAAAATTTAAAATCACTGAATCTTAATGAGGTTGTTCACACTTGCCTGGTTATCAAGTTATCTGGTCAAAAATTATTATGTTTATTTTATTGTTGTAAACTGAATAAAAACTATAACCACATAAGCAGGTGATAAGCAGGCAAGCGTGATTATTGTTAATAAAAATATTTATTATACTCCAACATTGTATCTACATACACAATATTTACATTCATCTGCTAGCCGCTATTTAATGAATGAATATTATTTAGGAAGCGAGGAAATAATAGTTTAACAACACTTTATTAGGAAAGAAGCCTAAAATTACTTTAATATCATAAAAATTACTTTAATATCATAAAAATTAATAGAAAAAAATATATTTTTCTCTTTAAAATAATAAAATCTAAACTAAAAGAAAAAAAGGAACAGTCCAGCGCCTTCGTCTTGGTCTGCAGGCTGTATCGGAGATACAGCCGCTATATTTAAACGTAGAATACGTGGTATGGTTAAGAGCATATCCAAGTCAAAAACGAAATCAAACACTAAGAATAGAAACAGATCCACATTAACTGCAATCAACATATGTACGTATGTATGTATTTACATATGTACACACGCTGCGATTAGGTTATAAATAGCGCGCCTCTGTTTATCAAAAGCCGCATTACATACGCATACATACTTTTTGTCTCCTTCCCACACTTCCAACATATGCACGTGGTTGCAAAATGATGACGAGGTGATTTTGTATGGAAAATCATTTATGCCCATATATTTGAATAAAATAAACATATATAGAAGATATCAACCAATACTTCCCATATACCAAACGAAAGGAAAACTCTTGAATTTTTGATTAAAGAAAACAAAAACAAAATCATTCGAGCGGTTTTCGAGCATTTTGGTAATGAAAAAAATTTGCAAATTTTTTCAACAATTTTTTGCCTTAAAATGCTCAATATTTGTTAAATTTATATAAAATTTGTACCCGATAATATTTCTACTGCTCCAAAGAACCTATATCCCGAAAATGAAAGTTATATATGCCAACAATAAGTTGCTAGAGCACTTTAAAGGCTCAAAATTGACCCCAAAATAAGGCAATGTTTACCGTTGTTTTTACGACAGAAACCGAATTGGTTATTTACAAAAATGAATCTGTCGACAGGTTTGGAATTTTATCTTTGAAACGCCACACTTTTCTTTGAAATCGCTTTATTAGTTCTCGTGCAATAAGCGTTTTTGTGAAGCTCTAAAAATTACAACTACAACATTTGAACATAGCCCCCATACCTTAAGGTAAGACGTATTCTACGTCAAAATTAAAAAAGAGAAACAAAAATTCAATAAAAACAAAAGAAAGAAAAAGCTCCGCTCGAATTCGGATCTCTCAATTGGCAGTCTAGTGTTTTACTCACTCGGCCATTGTGACTTCTGGGGCAGCGTGAGCAAAATGGCATACGTAAATGTCTATTATTTCTTTTCCACTAGCTAATTTCGAATGAGCATTCGAAGCTGGCACCGATATTTTCGAGTTCACTCGGATTCAGTGATAGCAATTTTTATCGTATTCGTAGCAGGCAATCGAATTCGTAGATTTTCTACGATGGATTCCGTGATAGCCCTCAATACTTTTTACGCGTTTATTATAGGTGAAAACGATGTGGATGAATACGTACCACCGCCAGCTGTCGTGGTCGGCGGTCGTGAAGCGAGAGGGAAATCACCAGCCACGCCTTCTTATCGGAAACCGCCACCATATGTTTCGCCATAAATATGTGAATTAAGTGTCAAACATTGGTGGAATACAAAAGCAAAAACTTAGTTTGCTAATGCAGCTTAACTTGAAATACTTGGAAACTTTACTACTTAATTCACTACTTATACATTTTTTAGTTATTTAATGTTGTGTAAGCAGGAACAAAAGTGAAGAAGTTTAATACATACTTAAACGGCACAAAAGATAAAACGAAATTACGAAACCGAAGTAAGGATAGCGAGCAAACATCCGATTTTGCTACGTATGAAACGAATAATCATCTCGCATTGTTGGAACCTATGGGAAAGTTCATATAAATGATTAAGGGCCGTTTTCTAATGTAAGCAGTAAAGTTGCCTTTACTAACAGGGCAGATAAATTGTTCCTCACTTTAAAGTGTTTTCGTTGTCTTATCTTACCTGTAAAAATAAATTTGTTATTCCGTAGAGTGAAACTTCACTACATTTCCGAGAGTGAAACTTCACTACATTCGTCAAAAAATTTCAAAGGTTGGCAATGCAACATAAGCAAATATAGAGCAAGAGCAACTGTTAGCAAAAACCAAAACCTTGGTTGAAATATCTAATATATCTGATTCATGAACCAAAACCAAACCAAAATTTAAAGTTGGGTACAAATTTTAAAGGTTGCATCGGGTGAGCAACAGTTTATCGATTCGAGAAATTAATGCGCTGATGAGAAAACGAAAACTCGTATATCGAGACGATAAAGTGGCCGGTAAACTAAAGGTTGGATGAGAAAACGGCCCTAAGTCATAAACAATCTAATGTGCAAAGTTCTTTCTCAACAAAAAAAATACGTAGATATATTCATTGAACTATAGAATATTAAAGAAAAATCAAAGTAAATTACAATGCTCTAAGGTTTTAAGAATTTTCTCTTTAAAATTACTCTATTGTTCGTCGTTTCCCCGAAAACAGTGATGAAAATTCTGCATTGCAGATTCTTAGAAGCTCTTGCATTGTACTATTTATTTACCACTAATAAGGGAATAACTTATTAAAATATGTTAAGACATTCATTTCGCAGAAAGCATAGCAATTTAAAGGAGTGAATCATTTGGATTACAACATTACACATGAAAATCTTGCTTAAAGGAATGTATTGGACATAATGATCTTTATCTTTCGTTTTAAAGTTTTGCTTCAAGCGCTTCCGTTATAGCGAAAAACACTATCCCACTGGTCGGGGGTTCAAAAAAATATTTACTAGAATCAGAAATAATCTAAGGATATTGAGGTAAGATGTCGTTATGTAATCAAAATAAGAACGTGTCACAATCATATAAACGTTTGTATTACCTAAAACTTTTTCAATAAACTATACAACCGTAATGTTGTACGCAAGATAATCGCTCATGCGTATTTAAAAGCAATTTCTATCATATATGTATATGTATATTAAGATTAAAGGGAATAACAACTCAGTGCATAAAAAACTATGTACACAAATTGGTTGCATATCACTATCCGAATGTGAAAAGGAGCCAAGTAAGCGTTTTTAAATTGAGATTTATTTTGTACATTTAATAAAATATGTTTAATATACCTGCATATCTGCAAAAAGAGTCAGGATCCCATTTGTCAACAGACTTGCGTTAAGTCTTATTATTTCCCATTGTTTACTACACTTGACAATTTTCGCTGAACAGATAAAAGACCTTTTCACCTTCTGGTAGCGATGCGTCCTTTAGATGGGTTAAACAACAAAGAAGCTAAACTCGAAACTCGTTTTATATATTTTTATACATTATTTAAAAAAATGTAATAAATCATATAAAGCGATACATGTTCAGTATCTGTTATTGAAAAAATTAGTAAGAGACTATTTTATTTGCCGGCATATAAAATATTATTTGACTGCTTAAAGTAATGAAATTCGACGACTTTACATACATATGAAAATTGTTTACAATTTCATTACGTTTTATCAATGGTTTGTTTTCTTCAATTAGCACTTGAGAACGACAATCACAATTCACCCTTCAAAAAGTAAACAATTTTCATTCAAAAATGAATTTTTGTACAAATTATGTGAACTTTTGAGTATTGCAGCTAGTGCGTAAATGATGATTTAAAAACGCACTCTTAATATATAAGCAGCTGTTAAAATTTGTAAAATTATCCTTTATGTACACAATTTTATTTGTATTATTATACTTACACTTAAATAATTTTCATATTTGCATACCTTTATATACATACATACATACATACATAAATAATAATAAAAAAGTTTATGTAGAACTTTAAGATTAACTTAAAACGATTGAATTTTTTTTATACTTGCTTAGTTGCAATCTAACATCTCGAAAATAATCCGTCAAATGCTTGCGAAAAGTAACATTTCAAACGAAAATTGTAACAATAAAATGCCAAAGATAAAAGACATTGTAATTTAATTTCGCCATACAAATTGAATAGGCATACTACATATCTTAACAACAAGTCTCTCTCTTAAACCAATCAGTTATTACATGGATTTGTTCGAATTCATTTGGATTCCACATTAGTTGTCGCTATCTGAGCTCTTGAGCCTTTTATTATCACATCGTCATTTAAAATTCTAAGCAAAGGCTGCCCACAAATCACTGTAATCTGTATATCTAATTTTGTTCAAGTGACATTTGTTACGGCTCTCTTAACTTCCATTTTCGCTTCATAAAACATTAATTAAGGAGTGTGGTGGAACATATTTTAAATCAAATATCATGAATGCATATTCATTACATGTATATGGGTATATTTTGCAGCTTTGACACAATATTTAGACGCCAGAAGCTTCCATCCAAATAAACGCAATTAACTTAGAAGGAATAAAAAGAAATTAAATTAATAAAGCATTTTTAAAAAGAACTTACACATATATGTACGTGAGTTAAAACTGAAACAATATAACATATTTTATAACAAAGTAAAAATAAAATAAATATATAAAAAATATGTACTTTTATTGATGTATGTATTGAAATGCTCAAAGTATTTACATTTCGCTCATTTGCTATACGACTATAATATTTCAAAAAAAAAAAACGAGATATTTACTTATATACGGACACCCGTAAAGTTTTAAATTTACTTTCGAAATGAAGAAAATAAAGAAAGACATTCTCTTCTCTCGCGGAAATCACGTACACGATTTTAGCGCTAAATTTTTACACAAAATGAAGTGTAATTTTGAATCTTTATCTCAAAAATGACATTTTAAGCGTTGCAGCAGTTTTCAAGTAAATGAGCGATATGGACTAGAGTGATAACCCCGCCATTAGTGCGAATGCTTCTAATTGACTTTTCTTGGATATGCGTTTTATTTAATATTCTGTTTATTTGCATCGGACACAGCCACACACATCAAACAACACCGCAAGTATTTAAACACTTTGTTGCTTCCATAAAGGCTGGCAATTAATCAATTATAATCAGAGCCCTTTTGATGATGATGATAAGCACGTATGCATAGTGTATGTATGTATGTACCTTCTGACTTTGTAAAATATTTTTCATAGACTACATACATACATACATATGTTTGTAAGTATAATAAGTGTATCACACAATCTGGAGTTGTGTACATGCTTTCATATGCATATTTCGATGAATTCGCAAAATTTATCTACGCACGTGGCCATCCATGCACGTGCCAGTCTATATGGACTTTAATACAAAATTTGATGTTTACAGTTAAGTACGTGATTTGTAAAGCATTTCATTAGGTCAATATCTACCCACCTTCATTCGCGCAGAGAAAACTAGAAAATTAGAAATACTACATACATACATAAACGCCCAAAACATGTAACTTTTACCCCGCACGATTTAAATATGAATATACCGAGCCCTAACCGCCAAAATAACGTAAGCGACATTTTTTTCAAAATTTTCTTTTTGATGCAGAAATATTCCTAGAGCATCTAGATGCATTTCTGCATCGAAAATAAAATTTTGAAAAAAATGTCGCTTACCTTATTTTGGCGGTTAGGGCTCGATACTATCTATTCGTTCACAAAATTTATGAAGTTTCTTATAACTTCTTCGAATTGCTGCTTACCTGTTTGCGCACACTGTACTCGTATTATCTATATGAACCACCGTCGGAGTTATCAACCCAGCCATGTTATCTAAATTCAATCGCACCAAGGAGAATACTTGAACAAACAAAATAAATGTAAACAAATACAATAATTATATATAAGTACGTAAGTAGCCGAACAAATTGACACACGAATGACTCTAGAAACACATCTACGATTGCAGGCAGAAAAATAAATACATATAGTTATTTGTAGCATATATGTATGTATATCGTTTATTAATTCACAAAGTCCCTAACCAACAATTTTTTTTTATTTTGAAGGAGAAGCAAAAAGCATAAAAAGAGTATCAACAATGGGTAGGGTTTTTTAAAAAGTGGCATGTAACTCCGTTGTTTTTAGCACTAGCACTTTAAAATTTTTACCGAAGGTGTATTTTAATACATTCTACTAAAATGTGTGTAAAAGAGTTGGTTGGAGTTAGCGCCTTTGTAAATTAATGTAGCGATACGTATTATTGCATATGTATGTACACACATCCTACTTAGTACATGCATGCATACATACATACTATGTATATAGCATTTTCAGTTTAAATGAAACTTTTTTCAAATTAAATGAAACCTTTTTCAGGTTAAGCGAAACCTTTTTCAAATTAATTGAAACCTTTTTCAGATGATGCGAAACCTTTTCAAATTAAATGAAGCCTTTTTCGGATTCAATGAAACTATTCAAATTAAATGAAACTTTTTTCAGATTCACTGAAACTTTATTCAAACCAAATGAAACTTTTTTGAAATTAAATGAAACTTTATTCAAATTAAGTATTAAACATTTTTAAATTAAGGAACAGGAAATCAACTTAACCTATTAATAGCCGTTTGCGTCATGTCTGGCTAACACTAAAGGCTCTGTTATGCATATTTGGCATTGCTTGAGAGTTGTCACATAAGGAATCTGTTAAATGAGCTTCGCGTGTAAGCTGTTAC